GCGTGGGCGGCGGCGCGGCCGCGGCGGCGGCGCAGCCGTTGGCGCTGACGGAGTGGCCGGAGGCGGAGGCGGTTGATTTCTGGGATAGGGGCGGGGCGGACGGGGGGATGGGGAGTCACAGCACAGTCGTGCACCCCTGCTGAGGCAGCACGAGCATCGACGATGCCACTTCGCCTCCAAAGAACAAAACGCAGTGCTGGGGCAGCAGTCCGGTGCGCGAGAGAGCGCTCTGCATGCAGCCATCAACCTGAGCTTGGGCGGCCGAGTTGCGAGAAAGCATCCGCCCATCTGCGCACGCGCATGCGCGCAAGTGCGCACCAGCAGCCCGCCATTGCGGCAGGCGGTGTCATAGTCGCTGTCCGCATCCCGCGTCGGCTCGCCGAGGACAGGCTTTGTCACGATCTCGGCTGTCAACGGCTGCGCCACACAGGGCAGCCACGACAGGGCCCTGTGCCGAGAAAAGAGGGCAGGGTGACGGGGCCAGCCAGCCCGCTGAGGGCCTCTCACAGTCCATGCAGTTCAGAAGTAGCAAATTATATATAACGTCACGTCGGATCATCGCGCTCACGCACCTCAGCAGGGGCATCCTTGATGGGCCCCCTGGAGAGCTAAACGCCCACGTCCGGGCTCCGCATCGGTGGTAAAAGCAGAACTGAGCCTAAAAATCTCCACCCATATGCGTCCACATCGCCCTCCCGCCAGTTATAGCGCGAGTGTGCGAGCGCGTCCGTGAACAGCGTCGGCCCGCGTCTATGATGCGGTGCAACTTAGTGTATGACACAATCAAAATCAAGAGCAATTTGGTCCGGCCCACAGGCTGAAGAGGCCGTTTTCCTGCGTGTTCGCGCCGATTGGTGAGTGGCACCCAGCTCCCGCCAAGTTCGCACCGCCTGAATCCAACCATGGAACCCAGGCCCCTGCCGCTGTTCTTCTTTCGCCACGGAGTACTGGCTCGGCGATGAAAAGGGCAAATGCGCAGTGTTACATAACATGTTGTGTCATGGTGTGCTGCACACACGGATCGGGCGCGCGCGCCCCCACCCAGCACTCAAGCACGACAGGGGGGTGGGGGTGGATCCGGGTCTGGGGTTCAAGGGGGGCAAGGCAAGTGGGAAAGAGGGGCAGCACAGCGGGTGGCGACAGCCCCTAGGCCCCCTCTGCAAGTGCTGCGGCAAGCCCTCGCCCCAAGGAAGCATGCGCCGCATCGCGAAGCAGGGTGGAAGCCGCGCGCGCGCGCCAGCCGAGGGCGGCGCAGTGTTCGGGGCCCCAGGCATGCGTGGTGGCGCGTGCGCTCGGCGGGCGGTGGCGGCCGCGCCGCGGGCGCGGCAGGAAGAAGGGGCAGCGGCTCGAGCGGGTGAAAACGGCACGCTTTTGACGGGCAGCAGTAACAGGGTTCGAAAGGCGGCGCACGCTCCGCTGCGGCGACGCCGGCAACCAGCAACAAAAACCACGTTCGGGAATGAAACATGCGCGCGGCGCCGCAAAGAAAAGGAGCATCCAGGGGCTGCCTGTATTGCCGGCACCCGGGCCTCACAGGTAGCGCGCCGCCGCAAACGGCCGCCGCGGCGGCGCCGGCGGCGCGCGGCAGCGACGGCGAAACACACAACGCGCGCGCAGGAACCCCCGGTAACCGCCGAGGCGCGGCGCGCGCCCGTCTGGCGCCACGCCGCGGGGGACGGCGGTCAGCGAGTTTGACTTGACTGCGGTGGGAGGGGTGAGGGTTCGTGAGGGGCCGGCCGGGGCCGCCCGGCCGCGGCCCCGCTGGCCCGGGCAGGGCGCCCGGCGCGCGCCTGGCAAAGCGACACAATAAGGAGTGACAGGGAGCGGAGCTGGGGGCCCGCCCGCGACCTGGCATGGCTGTGGGAAAGCGGACTAGTCCGCCGCGGCGCATCAGGCAGGCCCGCAGACGCCCCGCGGCCGCCCCGCCCGGATGGTTCGGATGGTTGCGACGGGGCCGAGGTCACAGCAGCAGGGCGGCTGCGCGGCGCGCGGCGCCCCGCGCCTGCGGCGACGGGGGCGCGCCCGGCCCGACGGGGCGCTTCTTCGGGGCCGGCCGCGGCGGCGGCGGGGGGCGTCTCGAGGAGCAAGTGTGGCATTCAAACCTCTGCTTTGGTGGGTTGACACGAATAAGTTTGCCTGAAACATGGACATCAAAGCTGCTGTACCTGGGGCCTAACAACCCCTTGCGCGCCAAGGAAGCAGGCGCGCCCGCGCGCACGCGCGCGCGCGCCAGCGCGCGCCCAAAGCGCCCGCGTGGGGGCACCGGGGAAGCGGCGGCGGGCCGCGGCGCGGCGGGCGGGCGCGGGGGCTGCGGCAGGCCGCGGCAATTCTGGATAGCAAATCCCTGTTTCTCGCGGCCCCTGCGCCCGCGTGCCGCGGCCCTGTGAAAAAGGGCCCCTCAATCCCCCACAACCACCAAGAAAACATTCCACCCCGCTAACCGCCTACCGCCCCGCGACGCGCGCCGGCGGCGGCCGCGC